ACAAAGTAAATTCCTTTTTCTGTTTTGTTCAGTGTGAGTCCAGACCTGGTACTCACTCGGGTGGGGGCTTTCCGCTTTGCTGATAATATTTTAGTTGAACATTTGGGGCACTTTATTTTGGAGATGATACTGATGGCTTGTGTCGAAGGTCGAGAATAAAGAACTAAAAAGTCCTGCTCCGTTTAACTTGTGCTGAAACGTCAAATGCGGTCGTGTTGCCTGGTACAAATGGGACCAGCGCTTCAGCGTCAAACTCTTGAGAGTAGTGGCCAATTCTCAGTCCCATGTCGAGTGAAGGAGAAGCGATGGGTTGGGGCAGCAGTGCGGGTGATGGTCCTTCACAGTGGGGATCCGTCCCAGGCAATTTTCCTGAAAAGATTCTTCTTCCTATCCCCAGCTCTGGTGGAAAAACAAAACAAAATGCTGGAGAAACTCAGCAGTGTTAGCAGCAACAGTGCATAGAGAAACCGAGTTGAGACTCTAATGTGACTTCTTCAGAAGTGAAAAGTTGGGAAAAGAGGAGCGTTTTTAACATCAGCAAGTTGGATTTGTTACAACGCACGTCCAGTCAGGTGGGACTTGAATGCCTGGTCTAGAGGTAGGGACACTATCATGGGGACTCTGGTAGCGCCGTTAAGTGTCCTACTCCTGGACCAAGAGTCTTGGGTTCAAGTCCCACCTGTTCCAGAGGTGTGTAGTAACATCTCTGAACAAGATGGGTTAGGAAATGACTAAAAGTGACACATTCCTAGTGAAAAAGGAAAGGGTCTGTACCACAGACACCACAGATCCTGAAGTGGTGAGCTTTGTGTAGCAGACAGAGGGGGTTCAGAGCTGGGGCCTGTGAACAGATGATACAGGTGCCCCAACAAAACGTAAGCGGAATTTAATGGCTTATGGAAAATTGGGCACATTCATGTAACCGATCCATATCCATTTGTAAATTCCTGATTTATTTATTACAAATTACCTCTTTCTGATGAAGTGTCTAGGCCCAAAACGTCAGCCTTCCTGCTCCTATGATGCTGCTTGGCCTGCTGTGTTCATCCAGCTCTACACCTTGTTATCCCAAACCATTTTAATGTCTTCTGCAAGTTTGTCTGTAATATCTCGTATCGCTGCATCCAAGTCATTAGCATGGATTGTAAATAGATGGGGCTCAAGGACTGAATCCTCTTTTTTAAGTCCTCTGCTACAAAATCCTTGATAAGGGACTCTAGCATTTTCCCTACTGTTAACATCAGGCTCATCAGTGTATAATTCCCTGTTTTTTCTGTCCATCCCTTTTCAAATAGAGAGGTTACATTAACTACCCTCCAATCTGTAGGAACTGTTACAGAGTTAAAAAGAATCTTGGAAGATGACCACCAATGCATCATTATTTCTAGGGCCACTTTCCTAAGTACACTGAGATGTAGATCTTGTTCCCTTTGTGGACGAGAGCAAAAACTGTAGGGAGGATCAGCAAACTGGCCATAGTACCGTGGTATAGAGAGCCATTCACCCAATCTCACCAAGGACTTCTTGTGGGATTTCACCTATATACTGGGGGAATGGATTAAACCTTGGGTCAGTGACTTGAAAGAAATTCAGGAATTTGCATATTAATCCTTTTTACCTGATCAAAGATTTAAGAGCCATCTTAGGTTTGTTCAACACTGCATCAGTTCTATGACCCTTTGATCTTTTGCTGAAAAATTTTGTGTCTGATGTCACCTCTCTCACTGGCACCTGAAGAAGGAGTGAGGTGACATCAGACTCCAATTACTTGAGAATTTGCCCCCTAATACCCATTGATTCCAGTTTTGCTAGGGCTCCTTGATGCCACACTCGGTCGAATGCAGCATTGATGTCGCTCTCACTTCACCTCTGAAATTCAGCTGTTTAGTCCATGCTTGAATCAATGCTGTAACGAGATCAGGAGTTGAATGTTCCTGATGGAACACAAACTGGGTATCAGTGAATAGGTTATTGCTAAGCAGGTGCTGCTTGACAACACAATTGATGACACTTCCCATTAATTTACTGGTGATAGACTGATGGGGCAGTATTTGGTTGGGTTGAGTTTCTCCTGTTTTTTTGTGTACAGGACATACCTGGGCAATTTTCCACATTGTTAGGTAGATGCCAGTATTGTAACTGTACTTGACATACTTGGTTAAGGGAAGCAGTAAGTTCTGGAGCACAAGTGTGCAGTATTATTGCTGGAATGTTGTCATGGCCCATAGACTTTGCAGTATCCAGTGCCTCCAACCGTTTCTTAATTTATATTTAATGTGAATGATAGCAACATTGAAAATAAAATATTCCAAAGCCACTCACAGACGGAAGATTAGAAATGATGAAGACAGATTAACAGGAGAGTTAGAAGGGGTTAGAGGCAATAAAACTGTAGATGCTGGAATCCAAGGTAGACAAACAGGAGGCTGGAAGAACACAGAAAGCCAGACAGCATCTGGAGGAAAGGAGCAGTCAACATTTTGGGTGTAACCCTTCTTCAGGACTGAAGAACCCTTCCGGTTAGAAGGGGTGACTGAAAACTTGTTTGAGATAATAGATTTTAGAAAGACTTGTAATGCTGGAAAAATGAAGGCAGAGTTTTGAAGATTGGGATTGAGACATTTCTAAGTCCTGCCACAAATGGTGGGATAGAGAATGGGCAGACTACAGCTTACAAAAGACAAATTTGAAGAATTCAAGATGCAAGTCAGAAGGAATTTGTACAAGTATTGTGAGACAGAGGTCTGATCAGATTTAAGATGTCTTTGAAAATTTAATATTCAACATCATTTAAAAGCAGGGAGAGAGTGTAGATCATTAGAGCAAGTGGTGAACTATAGAGAGCTTAAGGAGTCCTGGAGGATCCATGATACTTGGAGCAATCCTGGAGTGCTAGGTGAGGTGATTGGCTAAATGATGAACTCAATATGGATGAGCTGATCTAATGATGAACAAGAAGGCCAGCGCATGCTTAGTGCAGTCATCGTTTTAGTCACTTAGACTTTTGGCAAACTGTAGACTGCAACAGCAGGAATAGCAGACTGAAGATAGTTTGGTGAGGACAAGCAAAGTGAAAACAGTGAGGGAGCACTTCCTTTCAAAGAAAACATCAGTTGGAAAAGATTTTTTTTAATTTTAACTCATTATTATAACAAATTATTTTAGTGAAATATGCCTTAAGAAATCAGTTTATTTGTTCAAGTATACCTGAGTAGTTAGGCAATGAACATTCATTTTTGTTCCAGACAGTTTTTATATTATTATCTTTTTCTTACCTTAAGGTAATTATATGTGCAAATATCTTGAGAGATTGCAGGGAAAAAAAGCTTCATTCTATAGAAGTGGTTAAATTAATGAAATTACATCCGTACATACTGAATGTACTCAGAAAACAGTAGTGATGATAGTTCAAAAATGCATCCGTTTGTAAAATCCACATTATAAAAGTATTTATTTTATATTGGAGGCAGTGCATTGCATAAATAATTGGCACTTCTCTGGCACCTATAACATAGTCAAACCTCTCAAGTTTCATCACAAGAGAATTATGAAACAAAATTTAATACCAAGCCATGTAAGGAAATAGTAGGAAAGAAAAAGAACTGCATTTATATAGCACCTTTCATGACCACAAGACAGCCCAAGTGCTTTTCAGACAGTAGAATACTTTTGTAGGCTTATCACTGTTGCGTTGTAGGAAATGCAGCAGGCAGTTTGCACATATAAGCTCCCTCAAACAACAATGAAATAACTGACAGTGATTCTATTATGGTGATTGTTGATTGAGAGATAAATATTAGCAAAGACATGGAAAAATTTCCCCTGCTCTTCTTCAGAATAATGCCATGGGATATTATTCTTTTGAGAGGCCAGATGGGGCCTTGGTTTAAAATTTGATCTGAAAGAGCACTGACAATGCAGAACCATGTCAGCACAACACTGCAGTGTCAACTTTTATTTCTGTGCTCAATTCCTGGAGTAGTACTTGAACACACAGCCCTTTCACTCAAAGACAACTGGGTTTGAGCTTACAAGTAATGGAAAGCTTAGTCAAAGATGTAGGTTTAAGGAATGTTTCAAAGAAGGGAGAACCAGATGAGTTTAGGAAGTGAATTCTGGGGCTTTTTCTTAGGCCATCCCTCATGATTAAGGATACTTGGTTTCAATCCAGTTCCATAGATTTTGAAAAGGCTGCTAAATCCAATCAACGATCTATGGACTCTGCCACATACGGGCAGGTGCAACCTGAATGTTTGGGTAGATGAAGGATTGTGTGCAGTGTGTTGTGTTCAGCCTCATCCTGTATATTCCCAATGAAGTCTCTCAATGTGTTTGATGCTTTCTCAAATGAACCTTCTCCATTTTGATTGGTGACAAGTCAGGGACACCAGGGTCAACACCAGAGATGTTTGACCACTTAAGGGTGCTTAAAGGAAATTAGTTCCACTGTCTTACTGATAGACTCCTGCTTTGACTGAGTTCTGAATACAGCAGTTAATCAGAGATTCTGGCCTTCACTGGTGTAGATCATAAGCTTCCATGGTCTGTAGAGCTTATGCAGCTGAAATCACAAACACGAACGACAGGGTACTGAAATTCAGAATTAGCAAGACTGATGCAGAGTTCGTGCTTGGGGGTACATGTAGCTTCAGCTGTGTAACCCTTAAATCCAAATAATCTTAACCCTGAATACAATGGCTGTGCATTTATCCCCCTCAGACATTGGGACTTCCAAAGATTCATGATCCTTGAGAAGTAATTTGTCCCCATCTGCATCTTAAATATGTAATCCTTTATTCTCACACAATGGCCCCTAATTTCAGTTGTATTAAGGTTTAAGATCATAGATCGTAGAATCCCTACAGTGTGGAAACAGGCCCTTCAGCCCAACAAGTCCACACCGACCCTCAGACATCCCACCCAGACCCATCCCCCTATAACCCACCTAATCTACACACCCCTGAACACAATGGGCAATTTAGCATGGCTAATCCACCTAACCTGCACATCTTTGGACTGTGGGAGGAAACCAGAGCACCCGGAGTAAACCAGTGCAGACATGGGAAGAATGTGCAAATTCCACACAGACAGACAGAGAACAAAGGCATGGTGACATTTAAACACAAGGATGAAAATTTTAAAATTAATGATATCTCAATGGTAGTCCCCATTTTATCTGTTTGTACAATGTACATCATAAAAACCATATACAACCAAACCAAGGAGACAGCAAGGACTCCAAATGCTGGAAGTCAGAGTCAATAAAACGTGGAGCTGGAGGAGGACAGCAGGTTAGACAGCATTCTGATGAAGGATCCTGACCCAATACGTCGACTTTCCTGCTCCTCAGATGCTGTCGCACCTGCTGTGTTCCCCCAGCTCTGCAATTTATCAACTACAACCAAATCAATAATCAATGTAGTGCAGGCTTTATGTCAGCTAGTGGGAAAGCAGTTGTGTTTACAGAGCTTTGAAGTTAACAGTGATGAGCCTGTCTAAATGCCACAGTTCAGGTGATTATCTACTGGTTGTGAAAATCAAATTGAAATTTTTACCGCAGTAATTCAAGAATTGCCCAAAATATAACAAGGCTTGTCAGCAACTAGTTGTCTTTACAGCTGGTACAGACTTTAACACGGCAATGAGCGGCACACATCAGTAACCATGTGTACAATAGGACCATTGGAATATTTTTCAAAGTCAGGACATGTAATATCTTTATCATTGATTCAATCCATTTGTAATTGTTTCTCCACAATATGGATCAAGTTTCTTTAAAGGAAAACTCTTCTGGTATTCATGCCCATTGGGGATCTGTGCATTGTTGTTGGGTTTTGCATTCTGTACATTATATTTTCCTCTTTTATGGGCATTGAATTTCCAGTACAAGGCCGTCACTACCACAATCGTCAATACTGCTGCTGTTCCTGCGATCACTACTATTATCCATCTTAAACCTATGAGAACGTAGAAAGAAAAGATACACAGATCATCGACAATCCAGAGAAATATATTAATTGCAACATGTCTGCACATTTCCAAAATCTGTGGATTATAAACAAAGGGTATTTTTCAATGGAATATCGAGTGTGTTTTATTCAGCTCTTTCCTGGCTGTTTTCCATGTTGTGTTTTTCACCTTCTTTCATTCCTCCCATACTACATGCCACTCCTTGGTAGTTTGCCCTCAACTCCCTGTCTATTCCTGTATACATTCTGCAGGAATTACTCTCTCAAAACTGATCTGCACAAGTTCCATCTTTTTCATTTTTCCCATTGTCTCATTTTTGCCTATGAACATGCTTCAGGCCCCTGTATTACTTTTAATTAATAAATACAGGTTTCTATTCTCGACATCATTAATCACCCAAATGGTTTCTTCTTTTTCTAAAATTTTAAGCAGGGTCCAAAATTTCTTCGATAATTTGTCTGTCTTTTCAGTGTGGTTCAAATTCAATTGAAGATCCTATTTCTTTTTCATGTTTCAACCCTAAACATTCATCAGCACGATCGCCAAGATACTGATTGAGCTGCTGCGTTTTGCAGAACGTCCTCCCTGTATTTTCTCACTGTATTTTTGCTGCTCCCCCCCACCCCTCACGGAGAAGTAAAGCCCGGTGACGTGTGCTGTACTCACTGATCTGCCAATACTCTGCTCCATGGAGTGGCCGTGTGTGGATTCACAGTGACAACTGCCCCCCAACCCTTTGGAGTTATTACCCAGGCACATGGGACAAACACGGAGCAGGAGGAAGGTACTTCTACACACAAAGAGACTGTCGCTCTGAGCCACTTGTATCCAATGTACCAGTTACAGAGCAGTAGTATTAGAGGCAGGGAGCAGTTTATCCATTTGTCCCATTGTCAGAAAGGGTGGAGGAGAACAGGAGCCCAAAGTAATAATAACAATGGTAATATTGAATTCTGACTTTTGACCCTGATGTCCACATCCTTCTCATCACTTGCATATTGATTGGTTGCCCTACATTTATAAATTCCTTGATGTTCTGAGGTTTTGTACGGAATATGCAGAAATCCAGGACCAATCTCAATGTTGCTGCCATTACTGGGGTTTACCCACTCTAATGTAGGTGAGGGTCTTCCATTGGACATACAGCTTAATGTAATTTCATCACCTTTAGTGACTTCTACTGGAAAGCCTGACATTGTTCTGTTATTTACTGATACGGTCGTGATTGTGTCTCGTGGTTTATCTGGAAAAGAGAAGAAAAAGATGAAAATAGGCAGGCATACCCACAGGATCACTGATACAGCTCCCCAGCACTGCTTCAATTAGCAGGATGTCCAAACCCAGCCACATATTGTGCTCTTATCTATCTTCCAACAGTCATTTCAGAACAGGTGAATCTCTGCAGTAGTGTTGCAGCCTTGAGCTTACTCACAGTCATATGTTGTTTTGATGAACGGTCACAGTGAAATGCAGTCATTGTGTAAATATTAATTCAGCATCACGGCCACTGGATCTGACGGTCTCAGGATATCACACAGTGTTCACAGTACTCACAATAACGGAGATTCAAACGTACAATTTCCTGTATTGTGTTGCTGACACAAAATGGTTACATTTAGAGATAAGGTCTTTAATCCATGCTCATTTTTGACCATGCACACGTACAGTCCACCATGCTGCATTTGAACAGACGGGATGTAGAGTAACTCTCTGCTTTCTATTTTTCCATCTTTGATCCAGACCCTCTGGGGAACTGGGTTTCCTTGCTCATGACATGTTAAATTCTGTGATTCCCCCTCAATCCAGTTTCCTTGAGTTTTAAAGATCTCTGCTTTTAATGCTGCATCTGTAAAATTCGTTCCAAGTAAAAATTAAATCATGATACTGATCGACTGCAAATTGAAATATTTTTCAGATTCTTCCGCTAATTCTTTTGGGTGCTCTGCAGATGTCAATATTCGTTATAAAACTGGCTTCTATTTTAAAACACAGGATAAAAGGCAGAATAACTTTCCCTGAATTCTGTGAAAAATGCAACATTCTGATGCGCCTTTTGAGAAATTTCCAAATTATTTTGGCTTTATGTTGGGATTCTGTGTAACTGAGGAAAAGAATTAAGAATACATTTCAGAGATGGGGTTACCCTAACACAATAATTAAAATAGGGGTATTTAAATATCAGGATATTGACTGGGATAGGGGTAATACAAAGAGCAGCCATGGGAAAGCAATCCTAGGCAGTGTTCAGTGGATATTTCTCCAGCAGTAAGTGTCCAGACACTGAGAAAGGATGCACTGGCCTCGTGGTATTATCATCGGACTGTTAACCCAGAGACCCAGATAATGTTCTTGGGACCCGGGTTCAAATCCCGCCATGGCAGATGGTGGAATTTGAATTCACTAAAATATCTGGAATTATGAATCTAATGATGACCAGGAATCCATTGTCGATTGTTGGAAAAACCCGTCTGGTTCACTAATGTCCTTTAGGGAAGGAAACTGCCATCCTTACCTGGTCTGGCCTATGTGTGAATCCAGACCCGCAGCAATGTGGTTGACTGTAACTGCCCTCTGGACAATTAGGGATGGGCAATAAATGCTGGCCTAGCCAGTGACGCCCTCATCCTGTGGATGAATAAAGAATGAATGAAATAAAACCTGTTCTTGGTGCAAGTGTCACTGGGAGAACATTGAGGGCACAGTGATCATTGTATCATCAGGACAATGGCAGAAAATGACATTGGTCACTCCAGAGTCAGAATATTCAACTGGGGGAGAATGGACTTCAACAGGGCAAGAAAAGAACAGGACCGAATGAACAAGAACCAAAGGTTCATGGGAAAATCAATAGCTGAACAATGAACTGCCTTCAAAGACGAAATGGTTTGGGCACAGTCATGGTAAATTCCCATAAACAGGCAAAGGGAGGCAAGCAAATGCAAAGCTCCCTTGATGTCAAAGGAGATGGAACTTCAGTAAGCAAGTGTGTTTATGATACATGTCAGGTAGTAATTACAATTGAGAACCAAATACAATATAGAAGGCTCAGAAGTGATGTGAAAAAGCAAAATGAGAAACGGACTGAGAGCTAACATATAAAAAAATTGGATGTCTCCCACAAGCACATCTGCAACAAGAAGGTGGTGAAAGGAGGATTAGGTACAATAAAAGAAATTTACATTTGGGGCAAGAAGTATAGCTGAGGTATTAAACTAATTTCTGTATTTGTCTTTACCAAAGAGGTAGATGCTGCCCAGGCCATGGTTACAGAGGAGAAACCTCAGTCACTTAGAATGGTTTATATTTGATAAAGAGGAATGTTTGGATAAGCTCTCAGTACTTAGAGTTGAAAAGCCCCAGGACCAGATCAACTGCATCCAAGGATATTCATATACCTGAGAATGGAAATTGCAGAGGCACTGGGGTTATTAAGTGGAGGTTGACCCCCCACAAAAAACTAACACCAAAGCACCCAGAGAGGAGCGCTTCACTCTATAATCCGTAAAAGGAATGTGAAAAGTGGCATAACCTGCCTTTCAGCAACTTCTAGTGGTTAAATAAAACAAATCCCTAATACTTATTTTACAATAAACAAGTAACAATTTATTTATCTAACTCACACAGTGAACAAATTAAGTAAACTATTAACAAACCGTTTAAACTCCTTCTAACTACTAACTGTTCCCAAATAAAACAACATTCTAATAGTGTGCTGTTCCAATCAATATAAGCCCCATTGATATAAAATAAAGAAAAATAGAGATTTATTCTGTTGAAATTACCGCCAGGTTATATGTCTTCCGGAATGTTCTGTGCCTTTTCCATTGAATGTTCTGTCAGGAACGTCTTCTCCGTCAAATGCCCGGTCAGGAATATTAACTGGTTGTGTCATAGTTACCTTTGATTAAGATCATGCCTTGTCTAAAACTTAAGAGAAAACTGTGAGAGTCAGCGATTCCCCCTTGCAAGCTGTGAGCTGTTAACTCTAGCAGATGGCAGTTACTCTTCTGATTTTCCAACTGCCCTCTCCTTTTGCACCCTTGATGACATATCAATTTCTTACAATAGGATGAGTCTTATGTTGTCAAAACCATCAGATTTAAATTTAATTGGTTTTTGGTATCTATGTATCTATGTGCCTGATTCAATTTGATTGGCTAAAATCAAAAGTTGTTGACTTGATGACAAAACAAAAGTGCGCTTGGCCTGATTATGGATTGATAAAATTATTTCAATTCAGGTGTGTTTTGTGCACCTGCCAACCCATAACTGCTGTGCACAGACAATCTCTAGGCATAGAAAAAACACATAATCTTTTAAAGAGAGCATGTATTACTTTCCCCGCTAGCATTTTACAAACACCAAATTCTAACTTCCTGCTTCCCAATCCATAAGTACTCTACTTAACTTTGCAACACAAGCAATAATCTTTCAAAATGAAAACTGAAATAATGTTTCAATCTCACCTGGAATTGAGGTCAGTGCTTAA